TATATATATATAGATATATATATATAACATATACAACATACACACAATGTTACCAGCATACACGCATACCTATCGCTTATACAATACTACTAATGAACACACGTATGTATAACATACATACCATCATACTAATAAACACACATACCTACCATTTCATCCGCCCGTCTACACAGGGAGAAACAAACTGGGGGTAACCCCTTCAGGGCCGTTGAGCTCCATGTCTAATCCGTTCTTGTCAGCCAACTTTGGAGCAGGCAATGACTCAGGCAATGAGAATACTCTGGGGTCGGTGTCAGTGCCAAACTTAGACGATCTCATCCGCACTGTGAGGGGTATTGCGTCCTCTGCAGGTACACGTGTGTATAGTGTGAGTGGTAGATGCAGTAGAAAACCCCTAAACCTTAAAACCTAAAGCCTAAAACCCAAAGACTTAGACGAACTATAACCTACTGTGAGGTGTGTTCCGTCCTCGGCAGGTACACGTGAGTAAAGTGTGAGTGGTGGATGCAGTAGATACCTACGCTCTATTGTGGCCTTCCTTTGGAGTGGTCACTTCCCTTTCGCCTCCCACATGAGAATCTATTTCATTTTTCTACATTCAGCCTAAATCCGACAATATAAATAACCTGACACTCTTGACAAATATGTCGTATATTATATTCGCCAACCCACGTGAAATCCGTCGTCACCAGTCAGGCGTTGATCCGATATCCGACAATATGCGTACTCTGACACTTTCCCCACATGTCATATATCACACTGACACTCTCCCCACATGTCATATATCAGACTCGCCAGCCAGATCCGACACCACCAGTCCTGTAGGCTTATCTCAGCCACTGAGCATCCTCGCAGACGACCCCCTCCAACTGGCACAGACCTTCAGCACCGGCAGCACAGGCAGCACACGAACCACCCCACAGCACACGCCACACCCACCACCCACACCCCCAGTACAAACACCCGAGCCACAGTGTGCGTGGGTGTGCACGGGCTGTCTGCGGCAGATTAAGGATGCGTCGCTGGGGCAGATGGTAGGTGACAGGGCGTGGCACACTCAGTGTATGGTGTGTGAGGTGTGTGGCGTGAGAGTAGGCTCGGGAGGTGTCCCGGTCCACCGGTCCGGGGCGGCGCTGTACTGCTTCCAACATAAGGTGAGTGGGATACGAATTAGGGGATGAGGGCGTAGCGCTAGTGTGTATTCTCTCTAGGCCACTGACATACAGAACAGGGGAATAGTGCGTGCAAGTAAGTGGACTCTTGTTGTCTTTGTTTTTGGTTGTGTTGGTGTTTGTGTATGTCATGGGTATGTATATATTTGTACATGTGATGTGCATGTATTTTGCTGTACTTCTCTCGGCATCAATTGTTGAATCCTCGCCCTTCCTATTATCCTATTCATCGATAGGCTTACGTTCTTATGCTTGGATACACCCACAGGCTTTACAAGTGTATGTGTCTAATTGTACTCTGGTTGTCTTTTGTTTCTGTTTGTATATGTCATGATTTGCCCTTGGTTGTCTTTGTTTACTGTATGTCCTTGTCATGTACATGTTTTAGCGTTAATCTCACTGTAGCCGTCGTATATCTCACTGTAGCCGTCGTAAATCTCACTGTATCTGTCGTGAAATCTCAATGTATGTCATAAATCTCACTGTAGCTGTCGTAAATCTTACTGAAACTGTCGTAAATCCCCCTGTATCTGTCGTACATCTCAATGTATATCGTAAATCCCACTGTAGCTGTCGTAAATCGCTGTCGTAAATCCCACTGTAGCCGTCGTAAATCTCACTGTATCTGTCGTGAAATCTCAATGTATGTCGTAAATTTCACTGTAGCTGTCGTAAATCTCACTGTATCTGTTGTGAAATCTCAATGTATGTCGTAAATCTCACTGCAGCTGTTGTAAATCTCACTATATGTCGTAAATATCACTGTTTCTGTCGTAAATCTCAATGTATGTCGTAAATCCCACTGTAGCTGTCGTAAATCTTACTGTGACTGACGTAAATCTCACTATATGTCGTAAATATCACTGTATATGTATGTCGTAAATACCACTGTAGCTGTCGTAAATTTAGTAAATCACACTGTATCTATCGTAAGTCTCTTTGTAGCCGTCGCAAATCCCACTGTGCATCTGTGGCACATTGATGGAGTGCGCATAGAGTAGTTGCTTACGCTGTCAACAAGCCCCACAGGCGCATCGTATGATTCAATGTGCCACTACACGTGTACTGTGGTATTGTGGTTTGACTGACGCCTTCCCTTACCTTTTCTTCCCTTCCCGTCCCTGTGCTGACTGCAGATGTCTGCGAGAAGGTGTCGTGGATGTGACGCCGTAGTGCATTTGACGGGCGCTGAGTCGCACTCGGCACTGCGTGTGGCTGAGAGCGGAGATCTGTGGCATTCCGAATGTTGTACGTGTGCCACGTGCGGGAGTACATTCCAGAGCGGATCTACTCTGAGAGTAGTGGGCGGGCAGACGTACTGCGAGGAGCATTTTGCCGCGCTGTCATTGGTGTGTGCGATGTGTACGTTGGGGCTGTGGGCCAATGAGAGCTACGTAAAACAAGACAACAAGACGTGGCATGCGACGTGTGCGCCTGAGGAGATGCTCAAGTGAGCAGCCGAGAATAGTGTAGATATAATATAATAGAACAACGAGAGGGAGAGAAAATATAGTACGACAACTGAGGTAATCAAATCATAGTAATAGTGTGTAGATATAAGAGAACAACGAGAGGGAGACAACATATAGTACGACAACTGAGGTAATAAAGTCAATGGAATAGTGTGTAGATATAATAGAACAACGAGAGGGAGACAACATATAGTACGACAACTGAGGTGATAAAGTCAGAGGAATAGTGTGTAGATATAATAGAACAACGAAAGGGTGAGAACATATAGTACGACAACTGAGGTAATAAAGTCAATGGAATAGTGTGTAGATATAATAGAACAACGAAAGGGCGAGAACACGTATAGTACGACAACTGAGGTAATAAAGTCAGAGGAATAGTGTCTAGATATAATAGAACACCGAAAGGGAGAGGAGAGAACATATAGTACGACAACTGAGGTAATAAAATCAGAGGAATAGTGTGTAGATATAATACAACAACGAAAGAGAGAGAACATATAGTACGACAACTGAGGTAATAAAGTCAATGGAATAGTGTAGATATAATAGAACAACGAAAGGGAGACAACATAGAGTCCGACAACTGAGGTAATAAGTCGATGGAATAGTGTGTAGATATAATAGAACAACGAGAGGGAGACAACATATAGTACGACAACTGAGGTAATACAGTCAATGGAATAGTATGTAGATATAATAGAACAACGAAAGGGAGAGAACATATAGTACGACAACTGAGGTAATAAAGTCAATGGAATAGTGTGTAGATAAAATAGAACACCGAGAGGGAGAGAACATATAGTACGACAACTGAGGTAATAAAGCTAGGGTGCCAACTGATGTGATAGAACGTATAGTACGACAGTTATAGCAATAATATTAGGTATATCAGTAGTAAGCACTGCTGCGGACTTTAAAAGCAACATAGTGGACGGGCACATGTATTAATTGACAGGCACATTTAATAAAATTAATAGGTACATATATAATAAACCGGTACATATATTAATCAACAGGAACGTATATTAATCAACAGACACATATATGAGTGAGAGACACTGGTTGTGATCCGAGGATTTTTAACATTTAAATCAAATTTTTTATCAATTGCCATTGCGTCGAGTGTCTTAAGCGTCGGGCCCTTGTACTATCGACATGAAGGCGAATATCAAGAACACGATGCCACCGGCAATGGTAACTGTTGCAGATGACATTAAATCAGAAAAGAAAGGAATCAGAATAGGTAAAACCCAAAGTATGTGGTTGCAGATGACATGAGACGGGGAAAGAAAGGAATCAGAATAGGTAAACCCCAAAGTACATAGTTGCAGTTGAGATGAAATCAGGAAAGAAAGAAATCAGAACCGACAATACAAAGTACAAAATAAGCGAAATAGGACGAAAACGGGGAAGCATCTTCTGATGAAAGCCCACACTTACATTGCACTCCACACGGAACTCTCATTCGAAATCACGTCCAGCGAGTGACAATGAAGACATGTGCAGACACAGAAAGACTAATGTCCCTGTACTAATCCATGGAACTCGTGCGAACAGATTCATTGAACTTCATATAGAACTAATTCAAACTGGTTCCTTGAACTAGGTAAGTGAACTAGTTCAAACTAATTCATTGATCTAAATAATTGAACTAATTTTATACTTTTTTTAACTAATTCAAACTAATTCTGCGACAGGCGTGTTGATAGTTTTGCTTTAAGTACTTTACGGATACACAAAACTAGCGACAACGGCAATATCAATTTTGCTTTTGTAGACGTACTCAATAGAACTACTATCTTCAAGCACTTGTACTCACACACACACAATATAGAACTATCTGGAAACTCCGCTTCTGAACACACTCCCCACAACGAATACTATTTTATTATATCCTGAAACCCCCGCAAAACTCTGCAAACCCTAAACCCCTAAAACCCTAAAACCTTGGACATACCTGTTTTAACCGATATCTTCTGAGCGACCATGCGCCCTCCCACCACAGCCAGACTCGTACACACCGCATGGCCAATGGTACCACCAATAGCCACGCCGTAAGGATTCTGAGAAATGCCCCAGATGCGAAGAAATGTTACAGACGAGAAGAAATGTTACAGACGAGAAGAAATGCCACATATGAGGAGGAATGTTACAGACCAGAAGTGGAGATGTGAGAAGTCGTGGTCAACCACACTCTCTTATACCTAATAACTCAATCCCCCACTCTTCCTTATAACACACACCCCCCTACTCTTCCTTATAACACACACCCCCACTCCTTACAACACACCCCTCCACTCCTCCTTATAACCCCTCTCTCTCTCTCTCTCTCACCTAACCACCCCTTGCGCCTACCTCTCGTGCGGCCAGGACAACTGTGGTGATCTGCGAGCGGTCACCCCACTCGGCTAAGAAGGTCATGGTGAACGCCTGCATGAGTATACCATTGGCGATGTCATTTTGCCATCGCGCACGCTGTTCGTCTGACGCCGTGGGGGGTGGGGCCTCAGGGTCCGCTGGACATGGTTTGCCAGGGGTAGGTAGTTAGTGGGCACTAATTCGGGATTAGTTGGAGAATAGTTTGGATATATAGTGGGCACTAATTCGGAATTAGTTTGAGAATAGTTTGGATATATAGTGGGCACTAATTCGGAATTAGTTTGAGAATAGTTTAGATATATAGTGGGCACTAATTCGGAATTAGTTTGAGAATAGTTTGGATATATAGTGGGCACTAATTCGGAATTAGTTTGAGAATAGTCTGGATATAGGGCTGGCGGTGGGTCGGACGGCGGTGGGTAATGGCTTCGAACACTCGCGCGCACGACTGAGTGGCACTTGGTAAACAGAACAAACGGCTTCAACTTGCGTATCTCAAAGCTTTCACAGTCTTCATTAACACACACACCGGCGATTTAAATATAACTCAGACCAGTATCACAGGCACTACCACTCATATATATATACTTGATACATACTACTAGTATATACACATGCAAACAGCACCCACACCACTATACACACACACGGATCTACTACACACGCACCACTATATACACACACACCATTATATATCCTCCACCACACACCCCACACCCATAATATCAACATCAGCGGCCCATACATTCGCGTCTGATGTTTTCCCTATCCTCGTCGTGCTTCTTAAGCTCCTGAGTCACTTCATCAAACTCTTCCGCTTCTTCTTCTGGGGTCATGCGAGACCCATCCCTTATCAGCCTATAAATGGTGGTGATAGGAAAATATGAAACAAAGTCAGCAATTGGAAATGTTGAAATGTTGAAAGGAGGATAAACAAAATTAGCAAATGGTATTGATACCACAACAAGCAACAGAATTAGGGCCAGTCTTAAGCGTTCAAGAAATTTTGTTCAAATTCAAGGATTCAAGGGCCAGAGTCCTAAAATATCCATGTCCTCGGCTCGGCTTTTAAGGACTATTTCAGATTAGTTTTTTGACTGATGAGGAGTAACCGTAAAAATTGGCAAAGAGTGTGATTAAAAAATGTGAGTCGTGGTACGGTAATTTACAATATTTTGAAGTTCCCGTAAAACCGTACTACCTTGAATGCCCTTGAACCTTGAAAGTAAAATCAAAGTGCTAGCCGAATTTGACGAAACGCACTTTTGTTTCGCGTTCAACTTTCAAGAGGCTATAAAGGATTTCATTGGCTAATATGCCTTGAACGAAAATTTGAACCCTTAAGACTCGTCCTTGGCAATTGGCAAATTTAAAAGAATAAAAAATAAATTCGGCAATTGGAAATGACACCACATATATACA